CATGAGCACAGGAATTTTTTCTGTTTTGCTTCCTGTGGTATCTGTAAGATTTAGAAGACTGCCTGACAAGAGAATACAACATGAATAAAATACCTGTAATTCAAAGTGTAATAGGGAAGAAAGGCCTAAACTGACAGACCTCACAAACAGCAATGTGACACACAAGGGATCAACAAGCTCAGCCTGGCAGAGGCCAAACATCTCTCGGAGAACAGATGCAAAGCAGGACCCTGAAGGGGCGGTGGGATCTGGGTTCCTCCAGGCGTGGCAGGCAGCATGTGGAGGTAAAGATAACAGAGCCTCACACACTTGGGCAGCTGTAACACGGTGAATGGGCAAGGGACAAAAGGCGGGGCAGTAACGGGAAGGCAGAGCAGATGCCAGGGAGAGGAGTCACTCAGGGCTTTTAAGCTGAGGAGCAGGTGATGGGATTTGCATTTCAGAAGGTCTCTTTGGAGCCAGTAGGGCAGTAGGCAGAAAGGCTGAATGAAGGCAAATCTGTAATCAGAGAGAACATGTAGGAGGCAAATTGCAGAGGCCTCTACAAGGGCCAGTGGTGCTAAAAATTAAGGCAGTGGTGCTGGGATGGAGATAAAGCAGGCCTCTTGAGCGCACATGACCGGATGCAAGGGTAACTCCCACTTTTACAAAACTCTGCTCCACTATCACTTCCTGTGGAAAGTAACTTTAAAAAAAAAGCAAAAGGGAATTTTTTTCAGGCTCGTATTCCCCCAACCCCCACACATATGCTAATAATTCCAGGTACAGCTGCATCCAGAAACTACCCCATGTAATCAGACAGCCATTCATTCTGTCTTTATCTCACAGCTCTGCTCTCCTTGGAATCAGCATCATTCTCAGGTCAGTTCTTTGCCCACAGTATCCCTCAGCAACTACAGGCTTAAATGAGCCGAAAGAGAGCAATCCCAGAGAAAGTCCTGTGGTTCCAATGAGGCCCACTAACTCCTACAGGAGGGAGATGCTCTGCTCTGCATGGCAAGCCTGAGCCGAATGCCCATGGCTGGAACTGGTGACAGGGCCACTGCAGCAGCTGGGTAACACACGGAAGGGCTGTGGGGGCGGACCGGTTCCTCAGGGAAACTTGGGCACCATTACCATGACCTGGGGAATGGATGCAGGGCAGACAGGCATGCAGAGCCCCATTATCACCCTCTTCTTGTGAACTGACAAGGGAGGAGAACATTTGCAGGGGCCCCTCCCCATTCCCGAGTTTCCCCCTAAAGAACGGTGCCCAGCTGGAGGAATGACAGTCCTATGGCACCACTCAGTCCCCAACACAGTCAACTTGTACTTCCCATCCACACAACAGTCGACCTGGAGAAGCCGCACTCCCCACAGAGGCTGAGAGCCATAGCCTAACTTGCCCAGTGGTAACCAGGTGGTGCAGGTGGGCAGGCGCATCTTGGCATGGACCATCTCCTGCCAACCCTCAAACCGCAAAGTCATGCTGGTAAATAGCCCGATAAGTAAAGAAGAGCTCAGAAATGACAGTGTTTCTTCCCCATTCCATGCCCTCCAGTGTCTTTGATTACCTGTAGGATGAAGTCTAAAATCTTTTCACAATCCAGTAACCCCGAGCCTTCCCGCCTCCTCCCTGACCTCGTCCCACTTGGCTTCCTGTGTCTGGCTATGGCTGAACTAATAATAAATGGTCCCAGAGCGTACTCTGCACTCCCAGGCTACAGTGCTTACTCCTGCAGATTCCCTCCATGGAACAGTTGACCAGCTCTTCCCACCTGATAATATGCTGCCAACTCCCCTTCCTTTTCCTCAGTCCTGGGCCAGGAATGTCCTCCTTGACTTTTCCTCACACAACTCTGGTTCAGTGCCCACTCACAGGCTCCCTTATCGCCCTGTGTATCGTCTTCTCATAGGACACGCCACTTTATAATTATCTGGTATCTTGTTCCCCCGCTTTGAACTATAAGAGCTCCTTGAGGCTAATACGGCACCTTTCAGCTCTACACTAGCACTGATATGTGGTACAGACTGGGGACTATGCTTACTAAAGGAATATTTTAAAAACTAAAATCTCACTTCATGGGTGATCTTTCAACTTTTCATAAATTCTTCTGGTTTATATTGTTACTTTTTTATTTTAACATTGTATTATACACAGTTGATTCAACACGAGAGCAAGGAAGAAAAGTACCTCCTAAAATTTACTCTAGGAAAAATTTTCTTTTAACTGAACAACTTAGGATTCCTTCTTGTTAGAAAATGAAAACAGGTCAGCTACCATTATTCCATTAATACCACAGCTGCAGGAAACAGGCTAAGCATATGCCCAATTTTGCTAAGCAAAGTGACATGGCTCTAGGTAGAAGTGTCTTCTCATTCTCTCCCATGACTGATACATACACAGGTATGAAAATTATTATAAACCACCTTAAATTCTTCTTGGAAGGATATAGAGGCATGTAAGACAAACTGGATAAATAACAGTTATTTATTTATTAGTCAGAGTATACATGAAACAATCTATCTTGATCAGTTAAGCCAATATTCAATGCTTTTGCTTATGTAGAGCTTTCTGATGAAGATAATAAAAGTGAGTCCTTTGCCAAACATATCCAGAATTGACACACAATGGGAGTTAAATAATTCTTCCCAGTACCTAGCCCAGTTGCCTATCCGTTCTCTGGGCCTGATGTACTAGATGCTACATCTCTGCCTCCTCTTCTTACTATAGCATCACTTACACATAAATAATAATGTATTTATTATTATAAATCAAATCAGCGATTTGACCAGCCACTTGGGACCTTCTTAGATGGAAAAAAATTATCAACTCGAATAACAAAGTATCTTTCAAAATTAAATAAAAATATGTCCAATGGTGATGATGAGGATGGTGGCTTAGATTTATCTAGTGATTAGTGGGCACATGCTCTTATATATTTGCTCACTTAATTAAATACCATGACAACTTATGTGGCAGTTAACTATTATCACCATCCTAATTTTACAGGTAAGAACACTGAAGCTCTGAGAAGTTAGGTAACTTTCCCAAAGGTCACACAGCTGTTAAGTGGTGGGATTGGGATTTTTACCTATATATTTAGGTTCCAGGTCCCTGTTCTCAACCACACAGATATTTGGCATATATAGAAAAAATACTGAGGTAGCCAGAGCCAAAAGTAGCTGAAATCTTTAGAAGAAAAAAACTGCTGACTAAAAGTATGGCCTTCTGGTTTTTTTGGTGTTTTTTTTCCTTAGATTCATTACCACAGATTATAATCAACACCTCCCAAGCAATAATGTCCCATTGAGGGCATAATAAGTGTTAAGAGTATGGGCTATAAGGCCAGACAGACAGAGCAGTCTCATACTCCAGTCCCACCACATCCCAGCTGGATCCACCGGGCATGCTGTTTCATACAGCGGGCACAAAGCTGAGGGGCGGCAGGGTCCAGGTTCAGATTTTCCCCAGTGACCATGTCTGTACCAGTGCTTCTTGTGAGCACTGTCCTCTCTCTCCACCCCCAGAACCTATGGTTGGTATGACCCCTCCTCCCTGGCCAGGTTAACTGGTCTCAGTCAGGTGTCTGGCTAAATGGAGACACAGTATCTCACTGCCTGGCAGAGATGGGCATAGGGCCTGAGCTGAGATCACCCCTTGGTACCTTTTTCTCTAACTGGAGCTAGGGAAAGTTAAGAGAAATCTGGTCACGAATCTGTGAGGAATTCAGTGTAGAGCTGACAGTGGCCTCAATACCAGGGTGCTTGAGAGAACGGAGCCAGCGTGTAGAGAGGCCTAGGGAGAGACCTGAGGGCACTGGAGCCCCTGGTTCTAGTCTTTTCCCTCCCCACTCCAAGGCTATCAAACATCAAACACACCAGCCACGCAACCACCTTGAGGAGAAAAAGCACAAATTCAACCCTAGCTCTGAATCTCAGCCTCCTCACCTGCACAGTGGGGAAATAAAGAGCAGCCCCCCCTCCCCGCCCTGGGAAATGAGGTGCGCATTTTAAGTGGGTTAGCGGTGTGTCTTTAGGAACAGAAAGGGTTCCATGGCTGTCAGCTGACAGTTAACACCGCCAACAGCACTTCTCCCAACAGAATGTTGCCATGATTATGGAGTCACTCTTGGTTCCTCTTTTTCTCTATCACGTCCAACGTGATAGCAAGTACTGCTTGGTTGTAACTTCAAACTACTATTGTAGAATCAGCCACCTCTCAAGCTCTCCAGTGCCACCACCAGGATGGTCCAAGCCAGGGTGGGGACTACTGCAAGGGCCTCCCAGTGCTTCCTTGCTTCAGCCGGGACTTTTGAGAGTCTCTTCTGCATACAGCACTCCACGTGATCTCATTAAAGTGTAACTCAGAAAATGAACACGGCCCAGTGGCACCCCATCTCACTCAGAGCGTACATCAGAGCCGTTCCTGACCTGGGCCCCACCTCCCTCCGGGTCTCTCCTGCTCCCTCCCCGGGTCTGCCCAACCAGGCTCCTTAATTGTCTTCAATCAGCCACCAGGCTCCAGCCCCAGGGCTTCCGCATTTGCTTCTCCATCCAAGACACTCCTTTCCCAAGTATCTTCAAGCCCCCCTCCCTCCCTTCCTTTAGGTCTCTGCTCCAAGGCCTTTGTGAGGATTGCCTAACACCCTGTTTAAAGCTGCAGCCCTCCTTCTAATCCAGCTGTTTCGTTCCCTAAAACTCACCACCATCTGACCTACCCTACCCATTTACCTATTTGTTTATTGCCTGGCTCCCCTCTGTAGAATGAATGCTTCATGAGCACAGGGGTTTGTGACTGTTTTGTTTACCATTGTTCTCATCACTGTTGTGTTCCCAGGCACACAATAAGTGTTTGCTGAATAAATGAATATATGAACAAAAGAGAGGAAGGGAGGGAGGGAGGTTGGAAGGCAGGCAGGCAGGAAGGCAAACAAACTCCTCTTCTGAGAGTTGGAGAGAAAACATAGACTATGGCAGGGAAAGCGTGGAAATCCTATCATGAAGCTTTTTGCACTTACTTGGCACAGCGTACCCAGTGTGTATGCCGGTACAAGGAATATAAGAAGCGCTGGCGATACATGCTCCATACTTTGATGGATTTGTCTTCAGAAGCCGTAGCTAGAAACTGGCCATCAGAGGAAAAGTCCACACTTCGAACTGGAGCTGTATGGGCTTTAAACTCAGAGGATTTCCCTCTCCTGGAAACAAACAGTTCAATATTTGTATCACTTGATTTAATTATAATCAACATCTAATCAGTATACAGACTCTGAAACATATAAAACAGCTTAACTCTTGTAAAACCCACAGGAGTGTGAAAAGGCTGCTTACCATGCTCTTCATCAACACTGTTTCAAGCTGGTTTTGTCAATTAAAGTCACAACTGATACTTAATAAGAAAGACTGGTAGTCCCCACCCTGAAAGGCATTTGTTCTTTATGTTTTAATTGGAAGGTAGGGTAATAATACTCTGAACAAATCTCTACCACGCATTTAAGTTCCTTCTGTTTCTCTAGAAATAGCAATATGTAATTTAAAGAACCTGAAACCTAGAAAAGCTAAGATTGATTAAAAGAATAGCTCCAGGGCAATGCTCCCAAACTGGGGTCGACCCAGGCTGTTGGACTGGCAGTCTGGGCTGGGAAGGAGATGCCCCTGAGTGATCTGCCTCTGACTCCTGTTTCCAACACCCGGGTTGGATGTAGGGCCTTGCTCGCCCCTAGGCCCCGTCTTACCCTCAGAAGCAAAACAAAGGATAAATGGAAACAACACAGCTCTCAACACCTTGAAATTTCAGATGTTGGTGTTTTTTCTTGGCTAGGGTGGGGAAAAAAGAATAGGAAAAACAGATGGAGAAAATAATATGTGGCATTTAAGGAGAAGCGGCAGGGGGGAAAATGTTAAAATAGTTAGGAGCAGTCTGGTAGATAGCGCTGGGGTTAAAAGGTGACATCTGGGAAATACTACTTTGTGTCTCGTCCTCAAGTTCCCAAGGCACTTCCCCTCTTATCCTACATCCAGGCAGCAAGTCTTCCATTCAGAACATCGCATCTACACAGGTGAGTCCTTATGAGGGAAATCTCCAGAACTGTGTGAAAAAGATCAGGCAACAGAATTCGCAGAAGCCTGGAAGTCACACTCAACTCCTCCCCGCCTCTCCTCCCACACCCAATAGGTCAACACACCTCTTGAGTGATAGTGATATCCTGTTGCTGCCTAAATATCTTTGAATCCCTCTTCTTTCTGTCCCAGCTATGCCTGCTTTAAGGTAGATACACCCTCAATATCCTTCACCTAGATTATCGCAAACCCTCTTAGCTGGCCCCTGCTCTAATCTTTTATCTCCCTCCAGTCACCTACATGCTGTGCGTAATACCCTGCTAACGGTGTAATTCCAAGCATGTAGATTCCCAGTGTCAACGTGTCACTGGCTGCTCTCCAAAAAAAAGGCACAACACCCAAGCTCTTTGCTGGGGCAACCTGTCACCGCACTGAACTTTGCATTTTGAGAACAGTCACAGCACTCAGACACACATCTCTGGTTTTTTGTACTTACTGCTTTCTCAGCCTGAACTAACTCCCCAGCCCCGGACCTCCCTGACCAGCCCAGACAGGCTGAATTACTCTCAGTGCTGGATCCATTTGGCTTCTTACATCATGCAGCACTTTTTCGTTTTTTAAAATAGGTCTGTTTCTCTCCTATTAAGCAGTAGGTTTTTTGAAGACAGGAATGATGATTTATTTATCTCAGTAAGACCAGAATCTAGCACAGTGTCAGGCATACAAAAAGAGCTCAATGCATTTTGTTGAATTCCACTGGGAAGAGGCAATACTTAAAGGTTCTTAGATCCTCTGGTGGCCTATAGGAGGCAAAGGTGACTCATGAATCCCCATCACCTGATATACGATACTATACCAGGGATAACTAAAATGAGTATTTAATAAAATAGGAGGGAGCATTCAGGGACTAGTTCAGGTTTCAGGGAAAGTTTTATGAGTGGAGGTCAGAGTAGTTTGGCTTGGACTCAGGTATAAGGCCCGGAGGAAACAAAAGCCTTGGTATCTTCTGTGACCAGGAAGCAAAGAGACAGATCATCAAAGTCGGCCCTGCCCTTTAGTTCTACATGGTGCACCCGCACAGGCCGGCCGGCCTGCCATCCTTCTAAACGGCCCTCCCAGCTGTAGGCTGGCCTAGCCACTGGATCCTGTCTCAACAGGCAGCATGTAAAAAAAAATCAAAAAAAAATCTGAATGCCTTGTGCCAGTGCTTACCTGGTTTCCAGTTCCTCACCTTGCCTTAATGTAGGTGCTCTGCCTCCCACACCTTTACCTGTCCTTTCTGCCCAAATTCTCTTGACTGTCTACCATGACAAATGCCAGGCTGGACCTGCTTCCACTATTCTTTCTTAGTCTTCTATTGGGGCGTCTGTCTGGAAATACGGCTGCACAATTCCTCTCCTCCCTCACACCCATGCCACTCCTCCCCACAGGAGGCGGAATCTGCTGATTTTTTCTTCCCTCTGAATGTGGGCTGGTGTTGTGAATTACTCTGACCAACAGAATAGGGAAGAAGTGACACTTCTTCAAGTTTCAGGCCTGGCCCTCAAAAAGCCTAGCAGCTTCTGCTTTTACCATCCTAGAATCCGGCTGCCCTGCTATACAGAGGCCCCTATCCTGCCAAGGAGAGGGCAGATCAAGGACCAATAGCCAGCACCAAGGCCCTTGGCATATGAGTGAGGATATGACTGTTTCCTTCCCTTTGCCATGATTTGTATTGCCCTGGCCTACTGTATGATTTAAAAAGAGCAACGAGAATCTACACAAGCTTAATTGTTGTATTCAGATTAGCCAGTGCAGATTAATGGTGCAATATGCTTTTAGCTCATGTACCTCTGTAGAGTTTGTTCACTAGGCTTCCTTGAATTAGCAATGAGTGACTGAGCCTGTGTTGTGCTGGTCTTACATTCCCAAAATTAAGTTTAGAAAATGCTTTCCCTTTTAAACCACAAACCAGTCTCTCTCCCTTAAAATTCCCTTCTATGTTGTCATCCACAGTGTCATTATAACATGTCATTTCTCTTCAACAGTTTTTGCTGTCATCAGGATAATATTCAGATTTCTGAGCATGGGGTTTCCCTTGGGTGGTGGCAGGGAAATGCCCTGTGAACTTACTTTCACTGGGCGTGCCGGCTCACACACCACCAATCAAATCCTGCCACAACAGTCATAGAACATGCCTGAATGCTTAGTCTCTGAAGTAGTTACAGGGGGAATGATGTGATGTGTGGGATTTGTTCTAAAAAGGGGGGATAGATGAAACAAGATTGACAAAATACTGATAACCACTATATCTGATCAATGGGTATGGGGTGGGGGAGTCTTTGTGCCATTCTTTCTCTTTTCAAGTATGTTTGAAAAATTGCATAATTAAGAGTTTAAAAGCTTTGAAAAAATTCATGGCTCAATAATTGTTTAAAATAGGTGGGCAATCAACTAGGGTTTGAAAAGTGTCTTACAGAGAGGTTTGTTATAACGGAATAGGACCTTACAATAAATGCAATGATTTATACTTTGTCAGAAATTTTCTTTAACAGGAACATTCTGGAGCCTAATAATGAATGATATGCATCAAAGGATAATTCTGGCACAGGGCGTTTTAATGGGGACCCAAAGGTCCCTAAAGATCCATGGAAGGGCTTTAGGAGGTTAAAAACCACAATTTTTGTTTGTACATGCCAATGAGGATTTCTCTGGGGAGACAATCTAAAGCTCACATCAGATTTACTAAGGGATTGATAACTATCACCTCCCCCGCAATAACTTAATGCATACTAAGCATATTTCCACGGTTAAAAATAGTTTTCAAATAGAAGACATAATTATGAGGTAAAGATGAGAAGAAAGTGCTTTGAAGCAGTCTGACTTGACACCTGGAGTGTGACTCAGACTGAGTCACAGGTAACAGCGCAGGTAACTGGGCGTCTGGGCCGCCCGAGACATGCATCAGGAGCAGCAGGCTCCAGCGTTCTCTCACATTTTTAAATCCACAGCACACCAGTTGTTTCTCTTACTTATCAGGAATCCAGAGTCTAACAGTTCTGTCTCGTGAAGCAGATGCCAGTAAGTTTCCAAGTGGAGAAAACTGCACGCTCGTTACAACGTCCTTGTGACCCACGTATCTGAAAGCTCTAGCTTGTGGCCTGAAACTCCATAGCATGAGAAACGTATCCCAAGAAGCAGTTGCTATCAAGAAACAGAAGAAAAAGCACTGGTTGTTAAAACGTAACATGTAGGCATGTCTTGTTACAATGGGCAGTATATCTAATAGCGAGATGTCCAGGTAATAGAGGGGCTGAAGGTTGTAAGGCTGACTGGTAACGGCAAAAAGATTTTTAACAGAAACCCAGAGCTACATGATGAATATGCAAGCTTGGCCGTGTCCTGTGTAAACCACACAGCAGGATCCCTGGCCCCTGTGTTGGGTTAGACTCAGTGACTATAACAGAACACAGGACTAGGAGCCAGTGCTGTCTCTAACTCTCTGGGTGACTGAGCAAAGTTACTTAACTTTTCTGTCATAAGGACTGAATGATCTTCCAGAGAGGGCTGGATGAGATGAATTTTTTCAAACCATTTTTGTGGAAGTAATTTCACATTTATAAAAAAGTTACAAGAGCCCTGGACATTGTTGCTCAGTGGTTAGAGCATCCGCCCATGCACCACAGGGTCTTGGGTTTGATTCCCGGTAAAGGGCACATACCTGGGTTACAGGTTTGATCCCCAGACTTGGTCTGGGCTTGTGCGGGAAGTAACCAATCGATGTGTCTCTCTCACATCAATGTTTCTCTCTCTCTCTCTCTCTCTCTCTCTCTCCCTCCCTTCTTCTCTCTCTAAAAATCAATAAAAACATATCCTTGGATATGGAAAAAAAAGAAAGAACAAATAAACAGATTAAAGCTGGGTCTAACTCTTGTCCCCAAACCAAATTTTATGTATGCATGTAGCCCCCAAAATTGCCCCAATTATAGGACAATAGGACTGAGAGTCACTAAGTCTAGACTGTAGAATGCTTAGGGAAAAAATGCAACTTTATAAAATTTAAATGCAATTAATATTACTGTTAGATGTGATATATTAAGCCACTGAAAACCTTCTAAATTCTTTAGCCACAGATAAAATTCATTTGGGCTATGCACTGTTTCCATGTAAAAGAGTTAAAGTGAGTTTATAAGTTTCAAACTGTAATGCTGTCCACTACTCCCTTTTTAAAAAGTACAAAGAGTTGATTTTCCACCACAGCTCATTAAATTATAAAATTTTTATATCAGGGTCTGAATTATCTGAGGCAAATATAGACAAAATAGGGACAACAATGAATTATAATATGCTTTATATTCAGGGCCCTATTTGAGTTCTAATGTATTATGTTGCAAATGAGATCCCAAAACGAAGACAGGACACGATCCCTTACTTCAAGGAATCACAGCTGTAGGGGAGAAAGTTCATTAGTAACATCATACATGTTCAGAGGACTTTTATACATTACTGATTCTTAATGTCATATGGGGTGGGTAGTGGTTCTTTCCAAGGAAAGGACATTTGAGCAGGAATCTGAGTTAAATGAGGAATGATCCAGGCTAAGATATGGGGAAAGAGCACTCTGGACAGAAGACGACTGCAAGGGCCTGATACAATAACGCACTTGAAGGCCAAGGAACAGTAAGGAGGCCTGAGTGTCCACAGTGGAGGGGAGAGAAAGTGAACCCTGAAAGGGAAGCAGAGAAGCAAGCAGATGCCAGCCAAGGAGCCATGGTAACAGGTGCATATTTGTTCTAAGTGCAATGGGAGACCACTGAAGGATTTTGAGCAGGGAGATCTCATGAACTGATTTAAGAAAATTGCCTCTCTGACAATGAGAAAAAGGTGGTCAACTGGATATTCATTAAAAAAAAATAAAGTAACTTGACTCCTACATTTTTTGTTATATACACACACAAATTCCCTATGGATTGTAGATCTAAATGTGATAGGTAAAACAGTAAGCTTTTATTTTTTTTTAAGTCCTTAATTTTTTTACTGGTAAAGCAACAGGTGCTACTTATGAGAATAAGTTATATGAGAATCACTTACATAACATTTAAAAATAATTCAGGTGTAAAATATTAACTGCATAGGGATTTTAACATAAACAATAAGCTTTTAGATGAGAACTTAGAATATCTGCATGGCCACTGGGATAGGCAAAGATTTCTTTTTTGTTTTTTTAAATATATCTTTATTGATTTCAGAGAGACGAAGGGAGAGGGAGAGAGAGAAACATCAGTGATGGAGAGGCATTGATCGGCTGCCTCCTGCACGACCCTACTGGGGATCGATCCAGAAACCCAGCATGTGCCCTGACCAGGAATTGAACCCAAATCTCCTGGGTCATAAGTTGATGCTCAACCGCTAAGTCACGCCGGCTAGGTGGCAAAGATTTCTTAACAGGACATGAAAACTGCTAAATTACTAAAGGAAAAGAAGAATTTACTACACAATATTAAGAAATTTTTTTAAAAAGAAAGAATTTTTGCTCATTGAAAGGATACCACTAAGTAACTGAAAAGGAAGGCCACAGAGAGGAAGGAGATATTTACAATACATACATCCAACATACAACAAAGAATCTATAAAGATTCCTACAAATCAATTAGAAAAGGCAGGAAAATAAAGGACTTAAATAGGCATTCATTAAGGAGGAAATCCAAATGGTCAGTAAACATGAAAAGGTACTCAATTCTATTAGTCACCAGGAAAAGGCAAATTAAAACCACAATGAGGTATTACTACACTCTCATCAGAATGGCTATAATGAAAAAACAAAACAAAAACCCAATACCACATCTTGGTGAGGATATGAACAACGAGAACTCTCATATAAAGCTGCTGGTTATAACCACTTAGAAAAATTGTTTTTGAAATACTGTATCTACTAAAGCTGAATATACACTTACCATCTGATTCAGCAATTCCACTCCTAGGTACATACCTAACAGAAATTCTTATATGTGTTTAGCAAAAATCATAGTACAATAACGTCTGTGGCAATACTATTAAAAATAGACCAAAACTAGAAACCCAAATATGCATCAAAGTAAAGTGGATATATAAATTGTGGTATACTGATATTATATAACTATTGTGTAATTAAAGTTCATTTATATGAAGTTCAAGAAGTAGTAAACCAATCTATGGAGTCAGAAGTCAGCACAGAGATTGAGCGGCAGGGAAGGAGAACAGCAGCTGGAAGGCAGTGCAAACGGGGCGAGGGTACTGGTAATACTGTTTCTCTTCTCTGGGTGCTGGTTAAATGCACAGGTCACACTGTGAAGATTCATCAGGTTGTATAATTTTGATACATACCTTATACTTCAAGGTATAAGGCTGTTGTGTGGAGAATATATAGGGGGGCAGACTTGAAGAAGGAACCCAGTTAAGAGGCTATTGCAACTATCTGGTCAGGGGAAGGGCAGTGGTCTGGATTAGAGACTGTGGATGGGGAAGATGCACGGTGAAGGTGGAGCCTGCGAGGCTTGCTGATGGATTAGACGTGAGGGAGAGAAAAGGAAAGCAGCAAAGATGCCAGGCTTTTGGCCTGGACACCCGGGTGAATTTCTGAGCCATTTAATGAGACTGGAAAGACCAGAAGAGGAGGTTGAGAGTGAGGCAGGATGAGGTGGGAAATCAAGAGTTCCTTTTAGAATATAAAGTTTAAGATGCCCATTTGACATACAAGTTGAAATGCCAAGTAGGGTGTTGGACATACTCACCTGCAGCTTCAATTGTCCAGGGTGGTTTAAAAAGCAAAGCATAGAATTCAACCTCCTGACTGAAATCCAGGCTCACCAGCTGTGCACCCTTGGGCAGGTGACCCAACCCCTATGAATGGGACACTTCATCTACAGAACGAGGTATTTAAAGTATTAAGTGAAGTAATACTTATAATTCATCCTGGCACACAGAAAACAGTCCAATGTGGCCATTATTACAGGAGTTTTTGTGACTGTTACTAGTAGCCGTCTAGATAGTATATGAAAGGCTGGGAGCTGAATGGGCTCTCTCAGGAGGCGAGTATGCAGATAAGAAGAGGTGAAGGCACTCACCCTTGAGAGAAGGAAGGGCACGGGAAGGAACCACAATGAAGTAGGAGGGGGCAAGGAGGCTGTGGTGTGCAGAAGTTCAGGAAGCACTCCAAGAGGGTGATGAGCTGTGGGAAATGCTTTGAAGAGATTTAGAAGAGGGAAGAGGCACCTGACCTAGAGTAGACGCTCAAAACGTAACTTTAGGCTTGTTGGCTACATACCCACATTAAAGTAATATTTGCTATTATTAGCATGAGGCCTGCTAAAGAGAAGTGACAGGGAGCAGGATGAACAAATGGTTTGAAGGACAGGGGAAGCCTAACCTTAGGGTAAGGGAGCATTTCAGAGGCCCACTAATTATAAAACACCAGAAGCAAAGATGCTCCAACTACAACGGTGTGGCCCAGGGTACACTTTACATTTTCTTGCGAATTTCAGGAAAACAGAAAAAAAAGACCAACAATCTATAAAAAAAACCCATAAGTGCATTTTTATTAAAAACTGTGAAAACTAACACTGAATTTTCCTCCTTACTTCCTTAACCTCCCCCACTGAACTCTAATGCGATGATAATGAAAGGTGTTTTATCAATGTCAATGATGGACAGTGCCAACCTGGAATTTGCTTTCATACATTTCCATTGAGCAACACCCTATATAAACATTACCACATAATTGTAAATGTCAAAGCCATACCATTCGTCATCTGACTGGTCTATTTTGAGATAAAATGTCAAAGGTGGACATTAAGAAAAAAGGTTAACTGGTAAATCTACACATTAAAAAACTATTTAATTTCTGTAACAATAATTCATTGTTTCAAGAAATCCACCTCAGGACAAAAGAAAGAACAAAATCCATGCTCACCTAGCCAGTGCTTTGCCTCTGGCGGTAACGCAAGGAACATACTAATGGAGAGAGAACATGTTTGCTCTCCATAATGTCCAAAAAGCCAACAGTTACTGTGTTGGCCTAAGTAGCAATAACGTTCTTTAGTCAACCCAAGCTCTCTCATTCGTTAATGTAGACAAAATCAACTACTTAGAGGTCTGCTCTGTCAGGAATACCATTTTCTGGAAGGGAACGGTACTGCCTCCAGTTTTTGCATTTGTTGTTAAATTATCTTTTCAATTGTTAGTACATGTACCTGGTACGGAATTCCAGTATTACGAAAGAGCATTTACCAAAAGCTCCTTCCAGCCCCTTGGCCCCTGATTCCTTTCCTAGGGATAGCCAGTGTTAACCATGTTCTTGAGTATCCTCCTGTGTGCTTCAACAAATGTGTCTATTCACATGTATTCTTTACACAAATAGCAGCATGCCACTCCGGCCAGTCTGCATTTTGCCTCTCCGCGCTCCTCTTGCCCAGCCCACCTAGTGTATAATGCATT